TCCTGGAGTGACAGCTCCCCAAACCTTCCCCCGGGACCTAGGACCATACCCATTTTGGGAAATCTGCACCTGATGGATCTGAAGAGGCCTTTCAGAACAATGATCGAGGTAAAGTCTGATGATTAACAAGCCTGAGTGTTCTTTGCCATAATTTATTGACATAACGCAAAATCTTGGTGAATTACTCTGGTAAGTGTCATGTGCTCCGTGTTGGTTTTTGGTGTTTATGGAAATATTAAAAAGTGGGGATTTACCTGGTATTTGAATACGTTTAGATATTCAGGAAGGACTATTTCAAGAAAAACTTTTTGTTAATGGTTGTAAAATTTTCTAACTATTTATTCAGATTTACTGAGATGGTTCAAAATCCCAATGAGCCTATGAGAAAATATAAATACTGTCAGCGAGAGAATGTCGGCTGGAGTGGCCCAGGAAGAAAGCCTTCTCTGCTGTTGCCCCCGCTCTTTGCAATATTCTGTCCCCAGAAGTGCAGCGGGCCCCTACCCTCCCAGCTTTCCAAAAAGGGTTAAGGACCTGGCTCTAAAAGCAAGCTTGGGGCAACATGAGCTCTAATCACCCCTGGGTGTGGTTACTGCCCCGACGACACTCCCTGAGTTATTCGCCAACTCTCCCTCTTTCTTGGAAGCTATTTATTATTAGGATTGTTTTTATATTGTATGCGAATGAATTTTATCTCTCCTGTAAACCGTCCAGAGTTGTTTCAGCAAGATGGGCAACAACAAATTTTATAAATAAATAAATGCTCAGAGAGACTCCTGTTTACACCATTTAAGCAGAATTATAAGTAATTCAAACAATTTCTTCAGTGAACACCCTATTTATGAAGGGGAGAGGGGTAACTTTCCTGATTTTGAGATTCATTCATGGGCATATATTTGGGTTTCTTTCCTTTGAGGAATTCACATGATCACCTTCAAAAACTGCTAGGGGCACAATTGGAAAGTTTCTATGTGACCCCTTCAACAACACGGCAGAGGCTCAGTTTCTCCTTTAGTGAAAATTCCACCATGTCCAGCACTAAAGGCTGTCAGGCAGCTTTGGAAAACGCCGGAATAAATCTCTTGCGCAGACTGAATTTTCACACCAAGCCCTGCACAATTGACCCCTTTAGAATTTATGAGAAATTGTATCTGTTTGGCATGGTGATCAAGGATCTTTTTATTCCACAAGGGTTCTTTTAGTGTCAGATATATATAATATGCAAATTAATTGCACTAATAAAATAACAGCATTATAATGTGTCAAGAAAAGGAAAAAGAAAATAACGTGACCACAACCTTGCAATTGTGAGACATGATTTCTGTAAACCAACTTCTGCTTCTATGAGTCAAATTATTAATGAAAATGGTCTCTTGTTTTTCTTATGCTGAATTCCAGTTGTCAAAAGAATACGGTCCCATTTTCCGCATCAAACTGGGATTCCAGGAAATGGTGGTGCTGACTGGCTATGAGACGGTCAAAGAGGCTCTGGTGAACCAGGCGGATGTATTTGCAGAGAGACCTGTCCTCTCCCTTTTTGAG